ACGTGCAGTAGCCTTTCCCCTGGAATCAAGTAGGTCATTTTTCAGAGGATCTGGAGGAGCAGTGACCTTCTGATCCCAGTGGACAAGGCAGGCTTTCCAGGGACCAGCGGCTCCGTGGCCTAATTGGAAGGAAGTAACATCCACCTGCTCCCTGCCCCTGCCCCTGCCTCTGCCCCTGCCCCTGCCCGGCAGTGGACTCCAGCGTCGCTGGTCTGTTTCAGGGCAAAGGGGGACAAATGCTCCATCACTTCCTGCTCAGTGTGTAAAACCTGTCGCTAAGCCCACTGTTTTGCCGCCTGTAGTTGTGTAATAAACTGATTCCTCATTTTATGTGTGCACAGCGTGTGGCTTGCTTTAGAGCTGCCCGGGTAACCCGGCTTGTCCTCAGCCAGCCCCAGGGAGTCTTCAGCTGCTGCAGCGAGCCGAGGCTGGGTCCTGTATTACGAACCCCTCTCCAAGGAGAGCACCAAGGGCTCACAATGGAAAGGACTTGTCATTCGCATCCTACACAAGGCTGGGCGCCACCACTCTGCCCTCGTCTTAGTGGGGGAGGCTGTCTGCCCTGGCCCTTGCCTTCCGGAGCCAGCCTGCGCTGAAAGTGCCTCTGCAGGGGTCCAGAGATACTGTCGGGTGCTGTGAACAGCTGAGGATCACTTAGCCCCTGATGCTCCATGCTTACCTCTGCTTTGCCCCCGCTGTCCTGCAGGCGGTGGGATCTTAACTCAGGAGAGGCCTCTGCTTCACATGGCAGCCACTGACAAGAAGATCCACAGGCTGCTGGTGGGGAAGGTTTCCCGTAGGGAGCCAGAGGCTGCAGATGGGTCTTCTCTTGGGCTCAGTGGATTTCACACTTGCTGATAAAGTAGATGTCTCGTTAGGTTCCCACAGTGGCTGTGACATGGCCAGCAGGGGCCTTGATGCTCCTGTCTGTCCCCTTTACTCCACAACCCCCGGACAGATGCCTGTGATCTCCCTGTCAGGTAGTGGAGGCCCAGAGAGGTCAAGGAAAGAGCCCTGAGTTCCAAGCTGGGAAACGGCTGAGTGGAGATGGTGACGTTGGCTGTCTGCCAGCAGCATCCCACCCCTTCTCCACTGTGCTCGAGGCCTCAGGCCCTGGGTCAGGATGTCCCAGTGGGGAGGGCTTTAGGGCCATGGAAAAGCCTGCGTGGTCTCGGAGCACTGAGCCGAGAAGGGAGTGTCAGAGCCCATGGATGGGTGGCCCTGCACATGGGTTCACTGCAGTGGGCAGGATGCTTCGGGAGCCTATGTCCTGATTGACACCCTTCCCCAGCACCACGTGGCAAAGGGATGATTGCAGAGATCAAGTGCGGGGCATGGGCCAACTCGCGTCTCTGCGCATGTGCTTTCTGGTTTCAGAGAGCGAGGTGTGTGAGCAGTAAATGGCCAGATGGACTGGACTGAAGACCCGGTGGGTGGAAGGAAGGTCCCCTCTGCTTGGTGAGCCACAGGTGCATGCTGAGGTGAGGCAGGATGTAGGACACCTTCTCTTCCTTGGTGAGCTGTGCTACCCATACTCAACTGACCCACGCATCCCTGTGACAGTCTGCTTTCTGCCTGCCTCTGCCCAAGAGCATGGCCCTGATAGTGGGGTGTCACAGGGATGGCTGGCTATAGTGTCAACCTCAGATTCTATCCTAGAATGGGCTGTGGGTTGCACACATCAACCTTGCCCAGGGACATGTGAAAAATGGTTCTGACAGGGAGGCCCCATCTTGCTTGGCCAGTACTCCTGGGACCCTGCAGGCCCCCAGATCCCGAAGCCAAGAGTTTCGTGGTGTGTGCCTAAGGTTGGGAGGGCTACCCCTAATGCTAGTGGGTTCTGATGTCCCCGTTCCTGTGGAGATGACTTTATGCAGGCCAGAGTGGTGACGGGCTGGCAGATAACTTGTCCTGCTGGGCCGTTGGTGACCTCCTGGGCAGGACGAGTTGTGAAGTCATCCCCAAGCGCTGAGCCTCTCTGTGCTACCCTGGGGCACCATGATCAAGGGGTGCTGCTGGGCACTTGCACCCATGGTTGCATGAACGCGGGACTTGGCCGCACTGAGAATGGCTAGATGGGAAGAGTAGAACCTGAGAAACCAGAACCCCAGTTTCCTAAAGCCACCTTTTCCTCTAGAATCTAGAGCACCCATGGTGGACACACAGGCCCACTTGCTCCAGCAGAAAATGGGCCGCCTTCAGCAGGTGCTTCCTGTGCCCAGATGTACAGGTGACAGGAGCACAGCTGGCCTTCCTGCTGCTGCTTGAAGTAATGGCCCTGGAGCCTGTCACCTGAGCCTTTCTTGGACGGCAGTGTCTGGACTGTGAGGTTCTGGTGCATGGTACAGGGAACCTCCTCTAGACCCCATCTGAGGAAGCTGCAGAGGATTCTCCACAGCAGGGAGGTTGCATCCCTTGGGTGGGATGACGGTCTGCCCCGTACAATGGTCAGTGAGGAACTGCGTCTTAATTCAGGAGATTCTGGGAAGAAGCAGTGCCCATAGGGCCTTAAATACGGATTGGATGGAGACCATCTCCTTCCAACTAAACTGCCAAGGCTCCAGCTAGGTGTGCAGGACACACGCACCTCCCTCTTCCTCACGATATCCTTCACCCGGGAAAGGCCAGGCTGTGCTGTGGCCGGGTAATGGAGGGCAAGACTCATGGTGGCTTTACCACTGGGCTCTGGGGCAGCTCAGGAGGAAGTCCCAGGGGTCCCTCACGGGATCACATTCAGCTAGGGTCAGGGTGAGCTCTGGCAGGGTTCAGAGCCTTGCTGCTACCTGTTTCCCTTGGTGTGGTGGTAATATAACTATGAGTTACGACCAGGAAAGTGGTAAGAATCTTTCTACCTGTCTGGAGCACATAAGATCACAGGTGTTTTTAGGTCACCATGTGGACAGGTCCAGGTAGGCAGGGACTCATGTCATCTACTAGGTCATGTGTCCACATGACTCCACTGCGCTTCACAGTGTGATGTAGTAGTTGGTCCTGTCCTGCAGGCCTAGTGAGTCTGTGCTACACTGAAATCACTGGAGGTGACTTGTGTGTATGTGAGCTGCACTTGGTCCTGCGCCCCAGGTGAGGAAAATCCTCTGAAGTCTGACTCGCCCCTGGACTAGCGTGCAGATCACAACTGGAAAGCCTCCAAGTCTCCTACACTCCCAGTCTCACCAACCAATCCCCTTGGCACTGGCCTTGTACATTCATCTCCCAGCCTGCAATTTATCACCATTCCTAAGCGGGGAAATGCTTGTCCTCCATGGGCAAGTTTTGAGAATTTGAAAGCAAATGTGCCTCTCTCTTAGGGGACTGTGACCTTTTCCACAAAGGTTTCCAACACCACTAGCTTCTCTTGCACAAGGTATAGGTGACCAGTTGTCATAGTCAACTCTTGGGTTCCTCTTCAGGGGTCCCTCTTCCTTCTAAACTGTGAATCTTAGGTATGGTTCTACTGTGATCATTATTTTAAAAGAGACTCCCCTCACCTCCTTGACAGGATGAAGAGAAGAGTAGGTGATAAATCCTCTCAGAGACAGGTGGGGAGCGAGCTGCAAGAATACACAATAGCAACCAGCAGGACCCTTGTGTGCCAAGACTGTGGGACACCAGTGTAAATGCAGCGTTTGGACTGGACATGTGCTGCTCTGCAGAAATGGAAAGGAAAAGTGCAGCGTTCCCTCCTTTCCACCTCAACATATCTCTTGCTTGTGTAGTAGAAACTTTAGCACCACACCATTCCCTGGGATAATTCAGAGACCAAGCAAATACTCCAGCCTCTTATCTGTTGAATGAAATCCCCCAGATGTCCGCTCTCCCTTCTTCTGAACATCATTTTTGTAAAAGCAGACAAGAGCAGAGAAGCTGAAATCAAGGCAAATTTGAGAGGAGTTTGAGAATACTTGAGCCATCGTAACATAAGGGCGTGTTCCAGAGGGGCGAGACATAGGACCTTACAAAAGGCAACAACCATGGGGCTTGCAGATGAGATGTTGAAATACTAATGTAGGGGCTGGGGATTTAGCTCAGCGGCAAAAGCGCCTACCTCGCAAGCGCAAGGTCGTGAGTTTGGTTCCCGGTACCGGAGAAAAACCAAAACCAAAAAAAAAAAAAAAAAAGAAATACTAATGTAACCCAAGGTGAGTAATAACAAGGGTGACCTTGGTGCAGGACTGATAGTACTGGGCAGATGTTCTTGCAAAGCAATGCAGTGTGCCATCAAAATATGGTGAATCTTTCAATTGAAAAGAATTATTACAGTGAAAGACACATTGCCATTAACCTCCCCCAAACAAATCTTTCTTGCTTCTAATACAGTTATCCCATTATTCTCGTCATTCTCGGAAGCCCTGTGTGTCCTCTTTCATCGGGGTCTTCAGTTGTGCTCTCCAGATGGCCTTGCTCCCTGAGTCCTTTGAAAACGTTTACTTTTCATGGTGACCTTGCCTTTTGGGGAGAGCCAGAAGTCCCACGGTGTCAGCACCCATGAGGAACGAGGGTGAGGAGACACCATGGAGTTTCTCGGGGCCTGCCATTCCCCTGGATACCCCCGGGCAGCAGCAGGCCCCTGCTCCCATTTCTCCACACAAAAACACAAATGAGAGGCCCTGGGAAAACACAGTGAGAAGGTGGCCAGAAACCCCTTTCTGATCCCAGATAGTCAGGTAGCAAAGCAGCAGCCTCACAAAATCCAAACCAGCCTGAATCACTTAGGGAGATCTTATCTCAATATTTAAATAAGACCTGAGGGTGTAGCTCAGTAGTAAAGTGCCTACCTAGTATGCAGGAGTCCCTAGGATCCATCCCCAGTACTACAGGGGAGAAAAAGGTGACCCTCAGCAAATGAGAAACAGAGGCCTTGTCAGAAACTAACCATTTCCTGACACCTTCATTTGGTTGTGCTAATGCCCAGAACAGTGCGACCTGTGCAGAGATGCCCACCGGCTGCATTCTCTTAAGGAACCAAGTCTGATGTCCACCACCCTGAGGATACATATCACAAGAGAGATGGAAAGAACCGTGGAATGAACAAAAACAAGTACATACATCATTTTGGCTTGCAGTGCAGCTCAGTGAGTAGAGCTCTTAGCTGGCATGTGTGAGTGAGGCCCTGGGTTTGATTCCCAGCACTGAAAAAGTAAAAGAAAAAATATATCACAAAATCTTGGGATGAAAAGAAAACACTCAGAAATTTAGAAGTGTGAAGACTACAGTGAAAAGAAAATGACATCAGACAGTAACATTTAGGGACCAGAACAAGAGGAAACCAACCCAAAATAAGCACAAGGAAGGGGATAACAATAAAACTTAGGGTGGAAAGAATCAAATGGAGAATAAAAAATTAGTAGTGAAAATTGACTCAAGGAAAAGTTTATATTTCTGAAAAGTAAGTGAATTTGATCCATCTTTTGCTAGAATAAGCGTGGTAAAAGAAAAGCTCAAACTTAACAAAATCACTCTGAAAAGCTACTAGTATATGATTGCAAGCTTGTCACTCAGGAGAAGGTAAAATAATATAGATAAAAAAAGATCATCAACTGCCAGTTATTCATGGAAGGGAAAATGAAGAAAAGGCAGGTGAGGGCAGGGGAACACTGTAGGGCAGTGAGTCTATTCTTACTGTCACTGTGGATCATTCACCTTATGCATGTGTCAGAACCTGCTGATCTTGAAATGAAATAAGTATGAGCTGTTTCAAACCTTGAAAATGCTGGCATAAGCTTCAAGAATGATTTTAACATCACTATGTGGGGCCACCCTGCAGCTCCAAGTTGTGCAAAGGAATATTGCTGCTGTACTCCCACTAACCAGGAAGCTGGGTGACTGGCGGTGGAGATGATGCAATTCATTCCCTGGGCATTTGGTGCATTCTCCTGGAGGACTCTCCTGCACAGAGTTGGAGGAGGGATTGGATGCAGGCAGTTGGGTCTGGAGCATCTTACAGGTGCCTCTGTGGCTAATGACCACAGCCAAATGTACAGATCTCTGTCCTATTTGACAAGCACTGATTAGGGGCTCATCCAGGGCTAGAACAAGTTATACCATGTCTGTACAGCTCCAAGACTGCATGGGAATCAAACACGATAACAAAGTTTCAGAGGATATGTGTTGGGCATGTAGTAAAAACCACTTGTGATTAACTCTCAGTGCAGTAGGAACTTTACACGTAGTTCATATTGGCTATAAACTCACACCAATGCTTCATAGCTATGATTCTATCTTGGGTCTCAGAGAAGACTTGGGCTTCAACATTTGAAAAATGCTAGAATTGTTGGGTTGGGAATATAGCTCAGTGGCATAAGTGCCTGTTTGGCAAGTGCAAGGTCCTGAGTTTGATTGCTGGTACCAGAAAAAAAAAACTGCTGGAATTGTTGAGACTTTGTAGAAGAGAGTATTACAGTTCCCATTGTATGAGGGATATGAAGTTGTTATTGTGTATTAAGAAATTAAGTATGGTTTAAGGACACATGTTTGAATGTGACATTGACAGGGGTGAATTTTGACTGTTAGTCCTGATAAATCAAATGCATTATGCCAGGAAACACAGAGCAGGTTCAGAAAGCATGCTCCTGACTGACTATGTGGGTCATGGAGGTGGGACACCAAGTAGCATATAGGGTCCCTTTATTTCTGGCACAGTTTTCCTTCTCTACTTCCTGACCACCGTGAACTGAGCAGCTTTACTCCTTCATGTTCTTTTCCCATGATACTTCTACCATGGAAGCAACCGATTATAGACTGAAGACATGATCCAGGTATGTCTTTGCTCCTTTCAGTTGCAGGTGCCTGGTATTGTGTCCAGGAGCAGAAAGGTGAGGAGTAGAGCAGATCTACTGCTCTCAGAGGACAGCACAATGCATTTTTCAAATCTTAGCTTTACAGCAAAGAGTGAATCTTGCTGGATGAAAATTTAAATAATATTTATGAGGTGGGCAACCCCAGCATAGAATGCATGATGCAACCAAAAAACAAACTCTAAGTATAACAAGTCTATTTACACTGTCAGTGAAACACATACTGGCAAATTACTGCCCTCAGTAGTGCTGGAAATTGGTGGCATCGGGGAGAGTAAAAGTCAATGGAACTGCACGTAAGCACTGCACTCTAAGCGATAGAGGTGCTTCCCATGGGGTTGCAAATGTGAATCTGCTCTTCCTATATCCTGGGACTGAACTATTCATTTATTGCATGGTGAATGGTGGGCGGGTTCCAGGATTCTCACTGACAGAGTAGAAGGCCATAGACAATCCAGAGGAAGCAGCGAGAATCATCTTCATTGGAAATGGTTTCCAATTGGAGACATTAGTAGAAAACTATGCTAATTTAAATATAGAATCACAAATTTACATATATAATGGTAATAGATGTCTGTATATGTAAATACTGTGTATACATGTGTATTCATTATGCAGTTAGCAGAAAAGGCCAATATCTGACAATTTCCCAGTAGCAATAAGCACACATAATATGCAGATGTAGATTTCTAGAACCATTTCCAATAAAATGAACCAGTCTTCTTTGAAAAAATGACTGAATTTAGGCCTGGGGAAACTCATATACAATAAAAAGGTGAAGCACCACATATTCCTAGAAACTAAAGAGTGAAAATACGTTAAAAGTCATGACAGTGTTGAACTTGGCATAATCCAGTGTGTGAGCAACTGGAAAAAATGGTTTGTTCTTTTCAACAACTAAAAACCATTGCAAGAGAAAAGAGATAAAGGGAAAAATGTGTAGAATAAAAAAAGATTTATGGGGCAAAATAAAAATTATGGTATGGGCCATATTTGGATGTACATTCAAAGAAGCTCCTTTGAAAAGTGTAAGTGTATCAAAAATTATTGAACATAGATATTTGAGCGTTACATACTTTTTAGAAACCATAACTATTGTGTGTATTTTTTAAATGTCTTTGTAAGAAATGTGCATTGCAATAGTGAGAGAAGAAATAGTGGGGCAATTTTGATTTGTTCTGCATTCTTCCAGTGCATGCAATGCAGGTGGGTGGGGGAACTCACTAGAATCAGATTTGCTACATAGCAAAGGTGGCATAGTGAGTCCACGATAATATGTTTCAGGCTTTCTGTAATAAAAAGCTTTCATGACAAGTAGTATCCATTGTGGGTGAAACCCTAAGAGACATTGACCACATTTTAGCAACAAAATTAGTAAATGGCCCGATTGTTCTAAATGGACTGAGAAAACATGAATCACATTGCAGGAACTGCAACCCTTCAAAGCTCAAGCCACCCTCACATGTTCCAGGGCAAGGTTGCTTTGCTGTCCAGTTCCTCCAGCGCTCTGGGAAAACTAATCACCATCAGAAGTCTGACATCCACAGCCTGCAGAAATGGTGCTTGTTCAACACCTGCTTCCAGGCTCACTGTCCTGGAGTTGTAAACCAGATGAGCACACTCCAGGATAAGAACACTCGAGGTTAGCTCTCTTACACCAGCAAATGTCCTACATAAATAAGTAGCATCTCTAGCATAGAAGGAAACTAAATAAAGAGAATTGTTCCAAATAATGAAAATATGATTTAACATTAGAAAAAAGCCTTTCCATTTTTATTCCTTACATAGAAAATAGATCAAATATTTAATCAGTGCATATAGAGAAAGATTTTGAAAGAAATTCAACATCAATTGACGGAAAAACATTTATTTAACTAGTATGAAAAGGAAACTTTCATTTCTTAAAATTACAAGGAAGCACACTCAAAAGGAAATAGTAGAATAATTATGCTTAAAGTCAGCAATAAGACATGAATGTACATTAATGTGTGTATGTTTCAACACAGCAATGAGACACAAAGTCAGAGCTGTAATTACCAGAATAAGTAAGGGACAATAATATTAGGGAAAAAGAATGTTTACTGACAATATCATTGTGTGTCTTAAAAATTTAAAGGAGGTGGAAGGGAATATTTCAGTGATGGATACTTGAGAACCATAAGTAGCATCTCTAGCATAGATGTCTGATTAGTATGCCAAAACAAATATTTTTGAAACAAAAGCACTGATTAGAGCAATTAATAAATAATATGCCATTTGTAATAGCAACTAAATCTTAGGAACACTATAGCTAAAAGGAAGCCTAACAAAGGTGAATAAAGTCTTTATAAAGGCAACTATGCTGACAGATCCTGGTAAAAGAATTGTGAAATCAATAGACCAGTGTGTCATATTCATTGATAGGAAACAGAATAATGTAAAACTCAATTTTCCTTAAATTCCTTATAGTTTATTTCCTTCCCTGTAGCTGTCAAAATGAAAACCAAGTGTGTGTTACTATCTTGTGCTTCCCAATTTAACCATAGAAACGAACTGAAGAGAGAGGAAACAAAACCTAGCAAGCACACTTAGCAACTAAATGTAAACAAAATTTTTCTGAGGAAGCCCTGGAGGAGACTGAGGACTGTTGAGCTTTTACTTGTTTTGGGGGTAGGGGAAGGGAAGTATGGGCGTGGGCCAAGGCCTGCATAGGTTTCCCCTGACAGCATGAGTCAGAGGAAAGTTCTAAATCTCCTGACTCTACATCGCTGCACAATCTGAGGCAGCGCTCATACCAGAGATGCCAGTGACTTACAAGTAACATCAGACAGAAGGAAATGCAGCCAGTGTGGCTGCATGGCTGCAGAGACTGAGCGTTCACCTGAAATCACCCTAGTGGGTGAGGACTGGCTTTCAAAACCATCCCTATTTTAATGGAATATAAGGGATGCACGGGGCTGGGGATTTAGCTCAGCGGCAAAAGCGCCTGCCTGGCAAGTGCAAGGTCGTGAGTTCGGTTCTCGGTACCAGAGAAAAACCAAAAACCAAAAAAAAAACCAAAAAAATATAAGGAATGCACTAGAATGAAAGTAGCAAGTAAAAAAGTGAATCATGCATAGTGACAGTAGATATTCTTTAATCAAATAAACATATGTACTATATCTACGTGCATGTGCAAATTCATTTGTGTAAATATACACTTAAAACACAACCATTCAAAAGATTTTAGCCAACTGCCCCTCAGACAAAGGACTTCTATCTAGGACATACAAAGAATTTAAAAAATCAGGCCCCCCAAATTCAAAGACCCAATCCAAAAATGGGCACCTGAGATGAATACACACTTCTCAAATGAAGAAGTACTAATGGCAAATAAATACATGAAAAAATGTTCAACATCACTAGTCATTTGAGAAATACAAATTGAAACAACACTGAGATTTCATCTTACCCTAGAAAGAATGGCTATCAACAAGAAAGCAACCAATAACAAATGCTGGAGATGCTGTGGGGAAAAAGGAACACTTCTCCACTGCTGGTGGGAGTGTAGATTGGTGAAACCACTGTGGACATCAGTTTGGAGATTCCCCACAAAACTAGGATTAGAAGTCCCATTTAACCCAGCTATTCCCCTTCTGGGTATTTTCCCAGAACAATTAAAGACATCATACCACAACGATATATGTGCACCCATGTTTATAGCAGCACAATTTGTTATAGCTAAATCTTGGAAGCAACCCAGATGCCCATCCACTGAGCAATGGATAAAAAAGATGTGGTATTTTTATGCAATGGAGTATTACTCAGCTATAAAAAAGATAAACTCGAGGCTTTTGTAGATAAATGGATACAAGTAGAGACCATACTCATAAGTGAAATAAATCAGACCCACATGTAAAAACATCGTATTGTTTCCTTGGTATAGGAACCTGAAAGAATAAGTAAAACTCAAAATGTACAATAGATGATAAGAATGGGAAAGAAATTGCACAAAGGAAGGAACGACTGGGATGAGGGAAAGAAGAAAAAAGAAAAAAGGCAAAATATAAATATATATATGAATAGCTGCAATAAGTGTATTGCTGATGTCTGATGGTATATTGAAAGGAATAGTTAATGCTTTAAATTTTTTATGTTCTGAGTAATTTTGCATGCTTGTGTCTGGTAATCTGGGCAGCTAATCTGAAGGTAACAATATGCAGTGGAATGCCCATGGTGAATCCCTACCATCTTGTCCAGTGAAACTCTGTATTATCTCTAATGTTTTATCTAATGATTATTTTCTTATTCTCTTTAATGGTTTGAACAATCTTCCATTCTTACATCTGGTAATCGGAACAACCTAGTTAAGGATAGTGATATGTAATATAACAACCACTGTTAATTTGTATTATTTTGTCTTGAAAACTATCACTTTAAATGTTCTTGCTTTGGTTTGTTTATGATTGTGATACTGGTATGCTGCTATTCTTGTATTTTTTGTTTTTGTATCATTTACTACTCTCTTTTTTGTTGTTGTTTGTTGTTTGTTGTTTGTTTTTTGTTTTTTTTCCAGTGCTGTGGATTGAACACACAACCTTGCACTTGCTGGGCAGGCGTTGTGCCACTGAGCTAAATCCCCAGCCCCTACTACTCTCTTTAAAATAAAAAAACAACCATTCGACATATATAATATATTCACTAATACATGCACACATATGATTTTAGTTATGTACCTATACATAACTACTGCCTAGATGTACACTTTATATACTTTCTATTGATATAAAGTCCATCTAGACATTTAGTAGAGATATAAAAAATCTTCCAGACTCTAAATGGGCATTGAAAGGTAGCAATCATGTTCTGGACTATAAACAATTGGATTCCTTCGCAGAAGCAAGGCTTACCCCAACGCCCTGCTGCTGCTCACCCTCTTCCCACTCAACATCAACCTTTTACAAGGAAATGATGGGGAGATCTGCCTTTGGCTGGTGAGGAGACCTCATAGGAGAATGTGGTTGTCCTGGAAGAGGTCACCACAATCTTGGGCATCTCATTGCGGCCCCTGAGTTCAACCTTGAAGGCCCGGACAGCGAACGCTCTCCTTCCTTCCCATGGCTGTCACCATGGAGACTATCAGAGATTGGGGGAAGCTGACTGAGATGGGCAGGACCAGAGTCCCAGCTCTGCTGGTAACAAAGGAGAACAGAGAAATCTGTAGATTATTGTCCCACTCCTTTTGTCAGACCCTTGACACGTCGCCTGATCGGATGTCACATTAGTAGGGTCAGATCAATGTGATAGACTTGATCTGAGTTTGTGGGCTTCAAGGAGGGACTGGGCTGTGTTAGGTAAACTTATGACCTGAGAGTGTATTGAGCAAGCACACCCCATAAACGGGGTCCCAAAACCTTCCAGATGTGACTTTTTACTCAGCCCTGCACACCAGGGAAAGATTTTCTTGTGAGCACCCTTTCCGGTTCCGGGGAACCTAGGATTGCAAGCCTTCATCTGGGAGGAAAAGACTCAGGTCCATAAAGGAGAGGGGTCCGGGCTCTCCCCGGAACTGAAATGACAACCCCCAGAGAGGACAGAGGGGACCCTGAGATTCCCGTTCCGCCTCTCTTGTCAGCCATAGGACACGTCAGGCACATTGTCGTAAATGACGTCCACAGGCACGTTGCCGGAAGTGACGTCCACTGACTAGCGCTTCGAACGGTCGGGGCAACGAGAGGCTGCGTTCCGAGGTGTTCGCTTCAGGTGAGGGAATCAGAGAGAGCCGGGTGAGTTAGCTAGTCTGGTAATGGGCTGTGGGGAATAAGGAAGGCCCAACCATACACAGTCACTGCATAGTTCCGTCTTGTTAACCGGAACCCACGGAGAGGCAGACTTGTAAAACTGAGCCTCTCCTCTCTTAGGTCTCAGGGGGCCCTGGAGCCCAGGCCTTGGTCTGAGGGAAACAGACTTAGGTACATACAGGTTGGTGTTCCGGGCTCTGCCAGGAACCAAGGTGATGACCCCTTAGGACAGGAGGGAGCAGAAAATCCCGTTCCACTCTCTGTCAGACAGCCTCCTCTCGCCACCCGCCCCCCAACGCGGGTGCATTGTGGGATGTGAAGTCCACTTACTCCAGTTTCACGAGGCAAGGTCCAGTTCTATGTTATCCGCTTCAGGTGAGGGGAGCCGAGAGGGCAGGTCATAATTAAGGGTCAGGTTGGGGTTTGTGGGTGCAGTGAGGAAGACCAACCTCGGAAAGAGAGGGACCTGGAACAATGCAGATTTGCCCTGTTGTTAGTCGAGCTTCTCGTGGCAGGAGTGGAGAGAAGGTGGACTCAAGTTAGTGTGAGAGGCTATGGGGGTCTGAAGCCTCACACCTGCTACTGGGTCCCAGAACACTCTCGAAAAGCTTCTGTTGCCTGCTCTGCACCTCACAATGCAAAATTCTCAAGCACGAGCCCCTTTTTGGTTTCTCTGGGAGCTGAGAGGATATGAGAGCCTTGCTCTGAGGTGTGACCCAAGGTGGGAAGAGCAGAGAAGGCCTGGGGTCAGTTAGGTCAAGCTAAGAGGTGGGAGAGAGGGGCTGGGGAAGCTTTACCTCAGAGAGGGGGTCGCAGAATAATCTAGGAAGGCCTCTGTTGCTTGTCCTGTACCACATGGTGCAGAATTTCTAGGCGAGGGCCAGGTTTTGCTTCACTGGAACCTGACAGAGTCAGATCCTTGTTATGAGGTAGATGCTTCGGGTGGCAGGAGCAGAGACAGCCTGAGCTCAGTTAGCTTCAGGCCTTATCCCAAGGCAAAGTGAGTAATAAAGCAGGACTGAGTATCCCAGGACCCATGTCAGATGGAACCCAGTATCGCTATGCTTTCACCCTGAATTGTGTCCTGCATGATTCCCTGAAATCTGAGGGAGGATTGTGGGCCACTGATGGGTGGGACTCTTTCAACGACTCAAGACTTAAAGGGAGGACAATTAAGGGAACCTTCCATGCTAGACTGGAGGGTGACCTCCACCTTGCTGTCAGCACTGGTAGGCACAGTGCACCTTTGTGTCTGGCTCTTGATGTCAGGAAAGAGTGGGATTGGTCTGCGGAGTGTGGCATCAGTCAAACAGATCCAAGACATGGGAAACATGCCCTTGCTTTGGGCAGGACAGAGAGGAAGAGTCACCCCCATACACACCAGCTTCCACATGAGGTCACAGGGAAATGGTGGCATTGGATTGCAAGGTGCATGTGCAGGTCAGCAGAGGGGGAATTTGAAGCCCTGGGCACACTCCAGGCAAAGGAGGGCTTCTATAACCTTGCTCTGCTGTCCAAACCCCGAGGAAAGCCCATGCAGGGGTGTGCAGAGGTGCTGCATCTCATTTCTGTTTGCTTGAGCTCAGGGACATCACACGCTGGTGCACTGGGTCACTAGGTCAGCAGAGGAGCCGCTCCTGGTCCGCAGACGGAGGAGGCCAGAACCTGCCAGCAGTCAAGGTGAGGAACTTGGGTGAGGCCTGAAGGTATGGAAGTACTTGACACACCCCAAGAGAAGGGAGTCCGTAGAACCTGTTATCCACTGTTACCAGCCTGGTGGCCTTGGGATACCAGGCAATGCCTGGAGTCTAGCTGTGGGCAGAAAGAGCCCCATTTGCTGATGTACAGAATCCCAGCCTCAACCTGTCTCTACTGTCACCTATGGGAAGACCCGGGGACCATGGATGAACTCACTTCCCCTTACTTTCTCTTTGCATGCTGCTGACAACCTCTCTCTCTCCCCCAGGTCCTTGAGTCCCCATCACCAAGCACCTGCCTGAGGTCACATACCACAGCCATCATGTCTGGATCTCCAAAGCCTTACCAACTTGAGGAAGACCGCGAGGACCAAAGTGAGACACAGGGCTTGGAGGGTGGGCAGAGTTTCAATGCTGTGTAGCAAGAAGTCACCACTTTCACTCCCTCTCATTGCTTCTCCTCCTTATCCCCATCTTTCTTTTGTTCTCTGATCCTAGGCACCATAGAGGAGGTTTCTGCTGCTGGAATGCTGGATCCTTCTCAGTGTCCTGAGAGAGGCTCCTCTCCCTCCAACACCATGGTAGCCACCCCATTGAGCCAAACCCATGGGGGCTCCAGCAGTGAACAAGAGCAAGGTTTATTCTCCTTACCAGCCTTGCTAGACACTGATTCCTTGCTTAGTGATGTCTTAGGTGGTAAGGTGGCTAAATTGATGGAGTTCCTGGCCATTAAGTACCTAATTAAGGAGCCAACCACCATGGAAGAAATGCAGATGGTTGTCACCAGAGATTATGAGGAGCACTTCCCTGTGATCTTTGGGGAAGCTTCTAAGTATATGCAGCTGGTCTTTGGCATTGATATAGAGGAAGTGGGCCCTACCAGCCCCTTCTATGTTCTTACTCCTTCCCTGGGCCTCACCTATGATGGGATAGTGAGTGATGAACAGAGCCACCCCAGGACCATCGTCCTGATTTTCATCCTGGGTGCCATCCATCTTCAGGGCAACCGTGCCAGTGAGGAAGCCATCTGGGAAGTGCTGAGTGGGGTGGGGTTGTATCCTGGGAAGGAGCACTGCATATATGGGGAACCCAGGAAATTCCTTACCAAGGATTTGGTGCAGGAACAGTACTTAGTGTGTGTGGAGGTGCCAGACAGTGACCCTCCTCAGTATGAGTTCCTATGGGGTCCAAGGGCCCATGCTGAAACCAGTGTGGAAAAAGTCCTGGAATTTTTGGACAAGTTCAAAGATAGCAACCTTAAGGCCTTGCCTAGCTGTCATTAAGAGGGTTCAGAAGATGAAGAAGAGAGTCCCACACTCAATGCCAGTAGAAGAGTGGTGATAAGTGGATGACTTGAAGATTGTTTCCTTTTAATAGAGGGTTTAATTAACTTCAAATTGTGCATTTTGATGGCGCTGGTCACAAACATATTGCTATTTGTAAATGGTTGTCTGTCTCTGAATATGTTTTCATTCTTTTACTCCTAAAATAAAAAAAAAACCATTGCTGTTTATGCATTTTAAGAGTTCAGCTGTTTTATAAAACAAATTGTAAAACCTCCCATCCTATTTTGTGATCTGAAACAAGGTAACCTGTCTTTGGAATAAAAGCTTTCTTGGAAATGTGAAGGAAGTCATCAGTAAAATAGATGAGGTCAGTAAATACAGAGAAATGTCAAAAGCAATATCTACTTTCCTTTATTACTTTCAGTTGTCATTCTGTAAAACTAAAAATATATGTATGCCTATGCAGTATGTGCTTGGTTTATTAAAAAATATTGGAGAAATTTACTGTTAAAGAGGAAGCGCAGCTGCTCCCAGATACGTTGCCCTGAGACCTTTGAGCCGATGCTCTTTGCAAGGCCCTGTGGTAAGGGTAGAGACACGGCTAAATTAGGCAAGTAGGACTCACTCTTCCTATGGAATGGTGGAGCCAGGGGCCATTTCCAGGCATGGCAGGGAATGGAGAGATGTCCTCAAGGGCTTAAAGAACAAAGAAAAGCTCAGCTGGGAGTTGCAGGGGGAAGGCGAATGCTTGGGGCAGCTTGGGGCTTGGGGAAACTGCAGTTCCTTCTAGAGGTTAATCTTACTGCACGGTTGCCAAGGCCAGACACTCAGCTGAGGAATCTTGGGGCTGAAGTATAAAACTTCTCTGAGCAGCTCTGCTTGCTTCATGGATAAAGCAGAGAGGAATGTCCACCTGGGTCAGGTATTGGAAGTATCCTGAGCTCTTGTTGCGGTGCAGCTGGACATAAGAACTAGGTGATTTGTAACCATCATCTGCAAGGATTTCCCGGCACATATAGGAGATTTCTTTGATGTTGTGCCCAGAAAGCACCACACTGACACATCTTCCTGGCCTGGGAGCTAGAGGAAAGTTCACTGGAGCATCGCACTCCTGTTACCTTGAATGTAATTGACATAACTCTGAATGAGGGCTGGGTTTTGGGTGGGATGAATATAGTGGTTTGAGTGGAAAGCAGCTAGGGAGGAAAAAAGGAGCTGGTCCTTCACTCACATTCTGGGAACTTTGCAGTACATCCACTCGGAAAGATGGCTCCATGCACAGATGTTCTAATATGTCCTCAAAGAGGGATTCAGTGGCAATTGGATGTGACTCGACAAACCTACTGGCAGAACGGACCAGTGGCACAGCAGCCACCCCATCCTCCCTGAGGGTTCCTCTGTCATTAACAGCAAGAGCAATGTTGGTTCTTTGTGTTAGTCTGGGTAAGCAGCATCTGTTGACCACTCTAGTGTCCCAGAGCACTGTGCAAGCCTGGGAGATGCCTTGACACCTGCTGGAGATGGGTGCTCTATCCCCTGTGCTCAGTGGAGCCCCTCTGAGCCCCACTGTGTGAGGGGCTGGGCTGGTGGCTGGTGACTGACAGCTGAGAGAGGTCAGAAATACCACTGTGCAGACGAAGGGGTGGGTAGCTGCATGGAGGAGGACAGTAGGGGGAAAATGCCAGGGGCCAAGGACCTCAGCCTCTGCAGAAGAAGGGCCGGCTATGGACTTGGCTTGAGGAATGATCCAGATGGTGTTCCTGCCTCAGACTGTCTTGAGGTTTCTATGTTCTTGGTGCTCTAGGGGCTGGGTATCATGGTTGTGATTCTCGGCCTTCATTGCCCACCGATTCCATCTGGGATCGAGAGTTGGCTTTGAAATGCAGATGGTGGGTTAGGATGGGGGCTTGAAACTTTGTAATGGCACTCACTACCTTGATAAACTGGTGGGCATAAGTTGGTTACAATGCAGGAAGCGTCACATAACCTGGTTAAAAGAATTCACATCTCCGAATGGTTTGGGGGACCTGGGGAGGAGCCATTCTCAAGATACTCTGATAGCTTCCCATGAGAGCTCTAAGTCATTGAGCACAGTAAATTGAACTGAGTTTCTTCATGGAGCCAGGAGACCAAGGCTTAGATAGGCACCACCTATTGAATCAGTTAGTGGACGTCTCTGGTGACCTTCGAACACATCCTAAACTGGGGGGAAAGATAACATGGCTGAATAGAGGAAGAGTCATGGTAGAGCTACTCAGAGAAAATAAAAAATGCAGGTAATTGGAAGAAAGGGAGGGACATACCTCCTGAGGCCAAAATCAATCTGAAATGAGACTTGTAGGTCAAACAAAACATAAACATAGGACTTTATGAAACAGTGAACCAGTCCACAGGGCAGCCGGTGGTGCTGCTGCCTGCACATGGAATAAGAATTACCTTTCTGGGAAGTTTTCCAAAATCATTTTTGATGGACTGCAAAAGTGTGGGCAACTCAATCCTCAAAGGATAAATGTGGGATGAAAGGACCCTTGCCTCTTTTGCCTTCCTCCACACAGGATGGCGCAGCCTGGCAGCAAATTTTGCTGGCATACACAGGGGTAAGGAAATAAGAAACTGCTCCCTCCCTGTTGGATTGCGAGGTTTTTTTCAATTTTGGGGGGTTTTTGGTATGCGCCCTAGCAGCTAACTAGAAGCCCTAGGAACAGTAAGTTTAGGGACCGCGGTGGAGACTGTGAAAGTAGTGAGTGGAAGAGCATCCCCCTTCCTATCCTGTGAACAGTAGCTTGAGAGAGGAAGGTAGACATGGGGGATTTAAAAAGCCTTGATTGCTGCAAAGCAATGAGTGGGAGGTTGGAACTCCATCCACGGGAGAAGGGGACTGAGCAGCCTTGGCTGTCTCCACAGCAGTGACAGCAACCCCCCTCTGCCCTGCGATGGGAAGCATGGCAGGATAGAGGCCAGCCAGTGACGGTGGAGCAGAGGAGGCGTGCGAGGACCTAGAGGAGCCAGCTGTGCACAGGACTGGGAGCAGCCCCAGACTGTCTCTGCCTGAGGGCGCCACAGCAACTGGGAAAACAATGCGGAGACAAACAGGGTAAGGAGACTGGGGGGAGGGCTGCTGAGGGACACAGAAAGTTGTTGGCTGGAGACTGGTCCCAGACCCCACGTCTGGAAGCCAAGATAAGCCCCGTAAACAGTACTAATCCTACTGCAGACGTGGTGGGGTTACTCAGCAGTTTGGGGCTCTGATTTGGACACTAGCAAAGAACTGCAGATACCTGAGGAATTTTATTTTTTTTTTCTTTGTTTCTTTGTTTCATTTTCCTCTTTCTGATTATTTTTTGGTTGTTTTTTTTTTTTTTCGGGGGTGTTGTTTCGGTTTTTATTTTTGTTCTGTTCTGTTTGTTTTCTTTCTGTCTTTCCTCAACAGTTTTTTATGATTTTATGATATTTTTATGTGAGTAAACATTATTTCTAGTCTTTCTGGTTCACTTTGATATTCTTTTGCTTTATCCTTCATTCTTTCTCTCCTGGCCTCTACACCAGTTTCCCAAAGCTTGGGTGATCATCCTTTGTCCTCCAGATCATCCTTGCTTCTACTATAGTTCTCTTCACTTACCTCTATTTCATCCTTTATCCCTCTTTAATCCACCCCCAACCAAGTGAAATGACTCTAAGGGGAAATTCATTCCATACAAGTTTCTGGTTTATGTTGGATTTTGTTATAGAACTGTAAATCTTTTTCCTATGGTTAAAGGTACCAAATTAATAGCAACCACAGTGTATCAGTTTCTAGATGAAATTATAGTTATATTAAACAATATCTATATTTTAAATATTAAACAATATCTATAATTAAATGGTAGTGCCAAGGCAACATATCAGAACTTGTGGAACACAGTGAAAGCAGTGCTAAGAGGGAAATTTATAGTGATGGATTCTCACATCAGCAAAACAGAACAAATTCAAATAAACAACTTAGTGTTGAACCTCAAACTTCTAGAAAAAGAACAAGACAAGCCCAAAGGGTGTATGAGGGAGGAAATTATAAAGATCAGAGCAGAAATTAATGCAGCTGAGACAAAAATAGAGAGAATCAATGAATCCAAGCAATGGTTCTTTGAAAGATTAAATAAAATTGATAAATCCTTAGACAATCTTATCAAAATAGGAAAGAAAATTCTTAAATAATCACGGGTCATGGATTCAACAGATTCAGTCCATGGGTAACTGAATCCAAGAAAGGAGCATCATGACAGAACTGTAGGACTGAGCAAACATTTTTAGTTTATAGAAGTCAGAACCAGAGCAAGGAACAGTGCCAAAGAGGAAAGGGTGAGGACCACATATACCTAAGTCACACCTCCATGATCCAGCCAGATACAACCAGGCTCCCAAGTCAGTCAAGTGGACACAACTGAGATACACCACAAGACATACTTAGACATGGAAGAATATACAGCTAAGTAGCAACAAAGACTTTTTCTTAGTATTGGGAATATAATTAATTTTTTCAATTTCTTACTTGCAGTTTCAGTAATTCCTTAAGCTTGTAAAGCACTTATGAATTACTTCCATAATCATTAAACATTATTTTTCAAATGTGATTGAACTAACAAAAATAAACATAATTTTACATCATTTGCTTCCATATTCAAGCAGTCTTATTCTTGATTCTATTTAGCCTGTGATGTGTTTACAGTTGTACAGCTAGAAAGAAAGAAGTACTTTGCCGTACAGTGAGTAGGCACCGAATATGTATAGGTGACTATGTGCAGTCACCCAATATCCCTCAGACTTTCAAATGCAGTTTTACATGGATGAGAGTCTACCTTATGTCTGAACCCTCCCTCTAGTGAAGGTATTAATTTGTGTTTTTAAAGGAAAATTACATTTATATCTAAATCATATTCTACATTACATGATTGTAACCAAAGGTACATTAGGGTCTGCGTGTAGGCAATCTCTATGCAAAATATTTTCATTATCATATTATTATGTATGTCAGTTGTGACTTCTGAGTTCATAATAAAGGTTTAAACTTACTCCATCCATTACTACCATAAATTCCAAGTAACACCTGAAAATGTACTTTGATTTAAAGATTTCTTGTTTTTATGAAAACAGTGGGACATTTATAAGTGATCAGCAATTTCCCTCATAAATGATTATCTTTTACAAATTTAATACCAAGAAAAAATGAATTGCAATCCTTGATTTTGTCCATATTTATTCTGACCTGTTCATGTTATATATTCATTTGACATTCTTACTTTCCGTAACCACAATTCCTTCATTTTAATGTTTTCATTCCCAC